CTGGGTTTTGGGTTCTGGGTTGTCTAGGGGCAGCGGATGGGGTGGGGGTAGGGGTGTTGGTGTTGGATTGCCTAGCCCTTAGTCTTATTTCCCCGGTAAGTCGTTCCTCCATTGCCTGCATCTGCTCCTGGAATTTCTTTTCCAGCTGGTGGATGAAGCCCACCATGATGCCTACGGTGACGGGGCGTCCTAGTTCCTCCTTTTCTTCTGGTGTGAGTTCGACTTCCGTCGATTCATACAGGGAGGAGGAGGGAATGATGGGGCGGTTTTGGGTTTGTGAGGAGCTCGGGTCGTTGGTCATATTGCCGGTTGGGGTTCCCGGGATTTCCCTTGTCGTGGCCAAGGGGGAGGAAAATCTTACCTGTCTTGGTACACTCTGGGGGTTCGAGCTCTCTGGCACTTCGCTTGGTCCGTGGGCGTGTTGGCTATCTCCTAACCCGGTCTGGTCTGTGTTTTTCCCGTTTCCCAGGGACATTGCTACATCTTGTGTGGCTTGCGTTTCGGTTACCCCGATGTCTTGAGACTGGTCCATGGGTTCGTTCGTTTCGACCAGCGGTGGGGAGGAGGCGGGTACCTGTGGTATCTGGGATACTGGTACAGGGCTTTCTTGCGACGGGTGGTATGAGGAGGCTGCTGCTGCCAGGAAAGCTAAGGCGTCGGTGTCTGCTGCATCTACCACTTCATTGCCAAAGATTTTCTGGAGTGTGGTCCTGAACCCTGGGAGCTCCGGTTGGGGTGCCGCTATGGTCGGGGCCTTCGTGTTTCCGGTGAGGAGGACGTAGCATGCATTAGTGCAACCTAGTTCCTGTCTGACCTCGGGGAAAGTACTTCCCCTGGCCACGATTCTGTTTCCCACGTTGATTAAGGCGTTGGGGCAGCCCCTTTGGTGCCTAATAGTGGCGAACATGGGGAGGGTTGAGTTGAGGGAAACTCCTTGTGGGGAGCCGGGCGGGACGAGGCTGGGGGAATTGATCCTTGGGCTTTTGGTAGGGCTTCTAGGTCCTCCCAGGGGAGAAGGAGAGTGGGGGAGGTGCGGTAGGGCCGGAGATGAAGGTTGGGAGGTCATGGTGAGTGAGTAGGATGGTCTTATGGCCAGCGTCCTAAACTCTCAAAGGAAATGAAGCCTTAGGATGGAGGGCTGTGATTGGCCACACCACCTAAGGGAGGAGTATCGTGAGTGAGGGGGTGGAGTAGTTCTTTGAGTGAAAATTCTGGTTGTACCGGATAAAAAGATGATGTGTACACAAACAAAAATAAACTTGGTGTGGTTGCAGGAATGCCCCGCTAACTGTACCGGAATTTCCGAAATTTTTCTCGCTCCGTGTGTGTGTGTGTGTGTGTGTGTGTGTAAACCTTTTATTCTTCCACTATCTCACCTACTAACTAAAGTAATCGGAGCACGGCATGAGATACAGCCCCCAGCCCAAGGCCCCCCTTAAAGAAATCCACCTCGCGGGCCACCTGCCACAATACATCATAACCCGCCCGAAGCGAGCTCGCAAACACTCCACCACAGAAGAAACCCGCCCCGCCAGCCAAGCCCAACCTCGCAGGTTCCGCCCTCCTCCTCGGATGCCCCACCACACTCGGCAGATGCACGTGCGCATAGCCCCGACCCCACTGAAGCACTCATTTTCTACGGTTCTCACACCGCCGCGTGACGAGACCGGGATGCTGCATCCGGGCCACCCCTCCTCCGCCAAGCCAAGCCAGCAAACCACCACAAAAATCGCAGCCGCACCCCAAAAAGGGAGCACCGCCGCACCAGTCGGGCCACACCCAAAAGAGGGGGTGGCGAAGGTCAATTTCTCCGGGTCAAAGCCATCCCCCCATAGGGGTTCAGGAACACCGGGTTCGCGCGGGGGCCCAGCTCGAAGCTGGGAAAAGACAGTGAGGGGCGCAAGGCCCTAAAGGCCCAAGCAGGCGAGAAGGAGGACCAAGGAGGAACCGGAAACGCATGAGTGTCCGAACGGTCGCTCCGAAGAGGGGGGGAGGACGGCCTCCCTATACGACCAACTGTATCCTGGCCGGAAACCAAGGACGTCCGACCGACAAGCAAGAGCAAAAGAACGTGGGGGAAAATAAGGACCGTGAGGTCCACTCGGTGCCGTATCAATAGGCAAACAAAAGAAAGCGAGCCAACGGAGCACGAAACGTGAACCTTCCGAAGGTGGGGAAGTTAAAGACTTGAAGCCATCGTGAGAAGCTCTTCAAGGGCGTTTGATTGGGTGAGCCCCCCGAACACCGCACCGATACACCTAACCCTCAGAGTTGAAAAGAAGGAGACTGTGTGTGTGTGTGTGTGTGTGTGTGTGTGTGTGTGTGTACGAGTACGAACATGATACAATCCCCCCGCGTAGCAACAGTAGCAAGGACGTTAAATCACGGAGAGACAGAATAGAGTAGGAAAGTAAAGACAAAAAACGAGAAACGAATCACGCTGTGATACGACACGTTGGAGTCGGTGCTACTGCGAGTATAAGTACCTTTACAGTTGACAATTGTTACCGGTAACTGCGATGCGGAGTATCGTAGAAACGGCTCATATATATATATATATATATATACTCGTATCATAGTAGGAAAGAGGTACAATACAGTGGAAAAAACAGGGCTTATAAAAAAGCTATAGGGTGAGAAGCCGCACATCCGGTAGGTACCGTAGGGCTCTCTTCCCCATGCGTCCACCACCCCGAGCGCCGGAAGAGAGAGGAAAGAAATAGGGGACAAGTAAATTGGATGGTATCCAGAAGCGGGGGATAATGGTGCAATGGGTACTGTGAATACCGGTATGTAACATAAACAACGCAAGCCGACACGGTACATTCCAGCAGTGGTTACGAGGGGGAGGGCGAAGGGGGTATGATACTTTGGAATCCCATTTGACAACATGAAAGGTAAACTTCCAAGTTAAAGTACCGGCACTCGGGGGTACGATGGAAATCGGAAAATTATTTCTGCCTATCATACAAATATCATTGGCAAGGGCCGTGTCTGGGAAGGGGGGGGAAGGGACGAGTGCCGGAGGAGGAATGTATTGTGCGCTCACCCAACCACCTCCAGCCGCGTTACGTTTTCCGGTTTCTACAGACACTCCCGAATACTACCGTAACCATATTATTACACGTTGTACCGCATGCCATAGTCTACCATTATCAAATTGAGAAGCGAAATGATAGATTTACATGTTCAGGAAAGGAGGGAGCATCATATACAACTATCTTACCGGAAAAAGGGTGAAAAGAGAAAGAGAAGGAAGAAACAGCTTCTACCCAGGAAAAACTAAAAGTAAATATGGTACGATACCGTATACAGAGGGGCGTGGTAACCTTTTTTCTTTTTCTAACGCTTTTTATAATCCAACCGCCTCCTTAACCTCCGCCAACGTCTCCTCTGCACTCTCCCGAGCCTTCCGCTCCCCCTCACTCGCTACAAAGTGCAGCACTTCTCTATTACTCTCCGCCATGATCTTCTCGTACTCATCCCGGATGGGTTCCAAGTGCTCGCTGATGGCGTCTGCCACAAGCTCTTTGAACGCCTTAAGACTCAAATCTGAGACTTCCTTCGCAACCTCGTCAAAGTCCTGTCGACGTTGGACGTGAGCGAGTATCTCAATGAGGTTTGAAAGACCCGGTCTGTTCTGCACGTCGTAGGTCGGGGGGCCTGGAACACTATCCGTTATAGCCTTTCTGAGCTTGCCGTGAACTTCTTTTGGCGAATCTGTCAGGAGAATGCGGGAAGCAGGATCAGCGGCTGATTTGGTCATTTTTTGCGTGGGGTCTTTGAGCGACATGACGCGCTTTGCCGGTGCTAAAGTGATTAATTAGCTATTTCCGGGGGAGAGAGAAATGCGTATGCCGGGGGAGTGGTACAGAGGAGGGTGATGGGTAATTTTAAGACGTCCTTCTTGAAGGCTTTGTTGAAACTTGATGCGATCTCTCGCGTTAGCTCCAGATGCTGGGATTGGTCTTCACCAACTGGAACATGTGTAGCTCTATTTCCCCCCATTAGTCACACTTCTCGTACTCCCCCGGCCAGAACCAAAGGTGTGCAAACTTGTGTATTAGAATATCCGCCGCCTGCAGAACCGGATACGAGAGTAACCCCAACTTCAAACTGGCCGCAGTAGCCTTCTCCTGAAGGGCATCCTGGTTTGAAGGGACACCAAGCTTGCTCTACTTCCCCAACAAAGCCTCAGCAAAATCATCATCCAAGATGGTGAAGAGAACTAGAAGACAAGAAAACTTACGCACCTTCCACTGCGTCATGCGGTTTAACCTCCCCATCGGCGCAACACAGCTCAAGATCCACATCAACTCCGAGTGCGCCGGCACACGGCTCTGCTCGAAAATCGTGCACCTCCTAGGGTCTAACCCGACAGCCAAAAGCGTAGCCAGCAGCTCCGTCTTGCGCTTCCGCAACTGCTCCGCCTCCTGCGGCTGCGTGATGGCGTGCAGGTCCACAATGCAGAAGGTGAGCTTGGCCGACTCGGGCGAATTGTCCTGGATCCCGACCCATTGGCGGAGAGCGCCTAGATAGTTCCCCAAGTGCGGGATCCCGGTCGGTTGGATGCCCGAGAAGACGCTGACATTCGAGGAGGCGGCTCGCCGGGCTTGCGGTTGGCCTCGCTGGATGGAATTGAGGAGTTTTGTGGTACGCTTCATGGCGGGGTTGTATATTGGTGGTACTTTTGCTCCGGGGGGGGGAGGATTGGTGGCGTGTGGGAAAAAAAAAAAAATTGTGTTCTGGGTGCGGCTCAACTGTTGCCAAGAGTGCCATCCTTTTTGTCTAGATGGCGACTTTAACCCTGCTTCAGATTGCTTTTAATTTAGATGAAGGGTTGTAGTGCGTGCCGTACCATATACTCGAGTATTAGAGGTGTAAGCATCCTACGGTATTATCCTCAATTTTTTGAAACACATGCATAGCAATCACAATTAACAATATTCTACGAGAGTATCCTTACTCAATTGGGTTTGGGCTACAGCTGGAGCATCAAAGCAAGATCTTTTGTCTCCAACTATAATAACTCGCCCAAGACCCAATCACCTTCCAACCCGGTCAACCGATCAAATAACTATTCCACTCGTAAACCCCAAATTCCACATGGCAGGCATGTGGATCCCAATATCTCGTGTTGAGCCCATACAAGGTCGTGTGTCTCGCGTGTAAACAGATCATCCCCAGAGGAGAAAATCGACTGGAATGCCAATCTCCCAACAAATTACACAAAGCAGCCCGATCCCTTATACAATTGGAACATATAACCAATGGAACGAGTACCATTCACTTTGTAAGGTGGAGACAACTGTCCAACCTGCACAATCTCTATTACCGACCCACCAAAAAGAAACGACTACTACTGCAATGCCAAATATTCCTACTAGGTAGTAAATTATTAGCTGACATTAAGCCAGCAGTGGTACTGTACTGTACCAACAAAACACAACAGGTTAGCGCCTATCATCTCCCTTCACTTCACTTCACCCCCCAAACCTCACTTCTCACATAAAAATATAGTAGAATTGAGAGGAAAAAAGCGAACAAATCTAAATATCCATTCTCTATTCTTACTCAAAAAAAAAAAAAAAACTTCAAACAAGTACCTCCAACAGACACTAGGTTATATTATATACCACGAGGGTGGCATTCCCACACGACACTCACAGGCCGACAACCCCAACTGGCGGGTCAGACCAGAGATATAAATAAAGATAAAACAAAGAAGAGACATAAACCTATGGCGAATCTTGGTAGATGAAAAGTTTCGTATGAAGTACGTTCATCGCCTTGATGGCGTCAATTTCTTTAATCACGCAGGAGATATTTATTTCGCTCGCGCCTGTGGAAATCATACCGTCGTTAGCTATACAAGTCACCAGCGGTGTGGAGGATAGGAAAGAAGGATGGGGAGGTTGCCTTGTGAAATCATTTCTATGTTGACTTTTGATTCAGCGAGAGCCGTGAACATACGACTCGCTATGCCGATCATGTGTTTCATTTGCTTTCCCACAAGGGAAAGGATAGTCAAGTCACGAATAACATCAACGGTTCCATACTTTCTCAATTCCTCAATTGCGTCTTTGAGGTCCTGCTCCCTAACTTCGGAGTGCAGGGCCATAGACACGTGTACTTCTGAAGTGGAGATCAGATCTACCGCGAGGCGCCGCTGATCCAGCACGGTGAAGATGTTCGCAAGGAAGCCATGTGATAGGGATCTCCTGTTGGAGTGAATGTTCAAAACCGCTATGCCATTTTTTATGGTCACGGCTGTAGGGCGCTTCGATCGCTCTCGTAAGAATGGATCCTGAGATTTGAGCCGTATGTGACGAGGTGGGTAAGTCGGTGTCTCTTCGCCTTTGCGAGAAATTGAGTCAGGAAAGATAACAGTTCCCTCTCCGGCGGGATTTTCCACGTTCTTTATGCGGATAGGGATACGGGCCTTAATCGCCTGCTCCATGGTAAACGGGTGGATAACCTTTAGGCATGTGTTAGCAGGGAAACTGATAGGATAGGGTTAAATTCGAAGTGGAAAAAAATGCTCTATGGTAATAATAATAATGCGGGTAATAGTAGCTAAAACGTACCTCAGAGCCATAGTAGGTCAACTCGGCAGCTTCCTCTGGAGTGATTATGGGTATCAAACGCGCAGCAGGAACCTTCCTGGGGTCCGCGGTAAAAATTCCATCCACCTCCTTCCAAACCTGAAGCTCGTCCGCATCCAAGCCAACTGCCAGCAACGCCGCACAAAGATCTGTGTATCCTCTCCCGATAGACGACAATATGCTCCCCGGAACCGTTCCGAAATAGCCTGCCGGAAGTAAGTGTAAGGGTTAGCACTTGTTGGGCTCGAAAAGCCCCACGCTTTCTGACCTGCCCGTTCGGTTCCGCTTTGTTCGACGAAATTGTAATGGCATATGCACGCCACGGGTATTATTCAATCACTTACCAGTAACGACAGGTATCCTCCCCTCACAACCCTGTATCCTCTCTCCCAATTGCTTTGCAAGGTAGTCATAGAATTCCTGATTTAGCACGTGTTTGGCAGAGTAGGACCCGTAAATGATGTTTTCGAGATTGACATATTCCGCATCAATGCCCTAAGCGGCTCGCCGCCCCACAAGCGGGAAAGGGAGTTAGTAAGAGTAGAAGTGAGACAAGCAAGCCCAGCCTATCTAGGAAAAGGGAAAGAAGGAGAAAATTAAAAATAAATCGAGAAAAACTCACCCTATCCCTAAGCATTGCAGTCATGAACAAGCAGCTAAGCTTTTCCCCAGCTCCAACAATGATATCCTTCGTCTTGGGACTAATCTCATCGATGATCTATAAATACAAATCAGCCACCTACATGACCCTCTACTGCCCATCTTGCAGGAGTTTCGATTCCGCTTGTTTCAGAAGAGACAGACCTGCGCAGCGCCCAGGAAACTCGCTAGTCTTCCACACTCTGCTTCAATTTCACTTTCCAGTGTAGCGATTATTTCCTCTGACCGGATCTCCAGCTTTGCAGCGCGAACGTGGTCATCCCGAATGTCATTCACAATGTCGATATACAGCTTTGATTGTGGCTTCAGGGCTTCGTCCGCTGCCCGAAGCAGCCTGATAATAGGTTAGTAGGAGGAATAAATCAATCGAGCTCTCTAGGTCATTTCACAGGACGTAACAGCTGGGGGTAAACCTACCGGTTTGTAGTTCCTTCGGCTTTGGTCTCTGTGCTCCGAGCAGAACACACGATTGCAACTTTATTCGTGTGAATGTTTATCCTACCGTAGAAAATTGTGGTTAGCCGGTTCAATTCTCTGCTTCCCAGCGCCGAGAAGCGTCATTGTCTCTATCTCTCGACTTTGCTTGTTTGTTTGTTCAGCTAGAGATATTCAACGATGATTGACATACCTGACAATCTGCTCCGCAATTCGGGCTGCAAATTTCCCAACACTTGTCCCGCCGAATTTTTGAATTACCCATCCTCCCTTCGCCTCGTTGCCCAAAAGCCCTCCCGGCTCGCCCATTGTCTCGGATTTCCTTATCTGATTCTGGCTCTCAAAAGCCAATTGGAAGGATGGCTGAATTCTCGACAGCTCCTGCTCAAGGGGGTGGTACTTCCTGTCCTTTGCGTTAATTTTTTTTTTTTTTTTTTGCCTAATGATAGGAAGCGGATCTATACTGGTGGGGCACAATGTGGGGGGAAAAAATGGGAGGGGCAGGAGCCTGTGATGGGTTTTCCCTACCGTATCAGATTCTCTGGGCCAGGGTGTCGACAATGGTTCGAAAAAAATGACTCAGCAAGGTGAAGCGAAAATAGTACCGTACCAGTGCGACTCTTTCAGGGTCACAGCTCCCGCGCAAATGGCTATTTGTGGATACCGGTACTTGTAGCTTCGCTATGCGTGACCCCTCCTAGATAATTGAGAACAAAGTGGGTGGAATGCACAACTACGTAAAGTTGTGTGTTTATGTCAATCCCGACGAAAGCCTCATTTCCACACCAACTATAACAGCAAAGCCTCCCCCGATTCCATGTATCACGAATCCCGGATCTGGTCAAACCGCAGATGCGGTAACCAAGTTCAATCCAAACATCTCGCTTTCCCCTCCCCCCGTCCTACCCTAGAGCATGTACCATTCCGCTCAAAACCGAACACAGGACCGGCACCGTGGGCTTTAGTAGATAGGATATCTGGATGCTGTGCAGAAAAATCCTCACCCCCCCCCCACAGTTGGCGAAGATCTTAAGTCATAACATCTATCCCAGTCGGGATTCTGGAGGGGAGATCGAGTTCCCCCTCGCAAGGCTGGTTTGTGGGTTTGAGTGCGGGGACACAGGATTCATGCGGGGTCCCGTCATTGGATTATGTGAAGTCGTACATAACTTACCGGTAGCAATTGTGCTTGTTCGCTTGCCCACTCAACAATAATAATAAAAAAATGGATGAGTGGAGAAATCGAGGCCCCATCTCCCGCATCCTTCTGTTGCTGCCGCAGCTTCCTTCGCTAGCCGGGCCCATAAACATCCTACTTTTCTCCCCTATTTCCCATAATATACCGGCATATATATAAAAATCTTCTTTTGCTTTTTATACCTTAGTTTATTAAATTTACCTTTTATCTTTCCCGGAGGTGAAGCACGGGAAAGCCAGGCGATGCCGCTGAGACTTCGATCCCGTGTAAGTTTGGGAGAAAAAGTTAGACCAATCGTGCTTAAAGATTTATGCCCGGTGTGCAATGTGGTCTTTGTTATCTAATGTATGGTATCACATCATACAAGTACGGGTACAGTACAGTGCTCTACGAGTACGGTACCGGTATTAGCTTTAGGACCTTTTTACAAGTACTCGAGTACCGTACCACCACCAACTGTCGTCAGGCTTTAGTTCTTTTTTTTTTTCTTTCTTTTTTTTCCTTTCCCTTTTTAGTATTATCCCCTACCACTTTCATCGCGGGATCCGGCAGTCTGTTCGCTGTATGCATTCCTTGCTCATCACAAAATTTGATCGTTTTATCATACTTTATTTATTTTATTTTTCCTCTCCTCCATTTCGCTTGCCCATACGATGGTTGGCCGGAATTCAAACCGAAAACAAAGCACTGGGATGCCAACTCTGATCTCAAAAACCCTTAACCAACTGTGATAAGAAATCCTTCTTTCTTTTTGATACGTCAAGGG